TAGTAGAGATGGGGTTTCACCATTTTGGCCAGGCTGGTCTCGAACTCCTGACCTCAGATGATTTGCCCACCTTGGCCTCCCAGAGTCCTGGGATTACAGGCATGAGCCACCATGCCCGGTCCAGCTTAAATTACTTTTTAAACTAAGCCTGGTCCTAAGCAATACTGTGTGTGGAATCTTGAGTTTGACGTGCTAAGTGTATTTTTTTATCTGAACCACATTAAAATCAATGTCAAACTCTTAAAAACATCTCTCCCTTTACCTTCAAAACCCACCCCCACATTCCCTGTGCTGTGCCCACCCTGGCTTCTGTGTTGTAGCAGCAGCTGTGGATGCTGGTGAAGGAGTTGGTAATTCTGTCTTAAGGGGCCAGGAGAAGCCTCCAAGAAGTGATGCTGGAGCTTGAGGAATGAGCTTGAGAGACACATGGGACAGGGAAGGAAGGAGACTGAGCCAAGGCACAAAAATGTGGAAGGAGGTGATGTGGTCTGAAAGCACATTTTCCAAAATAAAGTACTGTATCTTCTTTTAAAATGTGCTCCGAGTAAGAATCCCTAAGCCTCACTGGGAAGGTGACCGCTTCCACCTTTAAACATGGGGCTTGCAACTTAGCTCACACCCGGCCAATCAGATGGTCAGGAGCGCTCACTAAAATGCTAATTAGACAAAAACAGGAGGTAAAGACGTAGCCAATCATCCGTTGCCTGAGAGCACAGCAGGAGGGACAATAATCGGGATATAAACCCAGGCATTCCAGCCAGCAGCGGCTCACCTCTTTGGGTCCCCTCCCTTCATATAGGAGGTCTGTTTTCACTCTATTAAATCTTGCAACTGCAAAAATAAAATAAAATAAATAAAATAAAATAAAATAAAAGTGCTTTGTCACAGAATAGGGCACATTTTTTTCTTGTTCCTTTTCTATGTCTTCTGTTGCCTCTCTACCTCCTGAAAGGCCTTGCACAGTGTGTCTGATCTATGTGAAGGATGGTTTATTTGCACATACAAGAAACTTCCTGCAAGTCTGTGTCACCATTTGGGGGCAGCCCAAGGGCTGTTGGTAGCAGCAGTGAGTGATCAGGTGGTCCAGGTGCAGGGCAGCTTCTCCCGAGAGAGGAGGGCATGAGGACAAAGGTCATGAGCAGAAGGATGTGTAGCTGGGATGGCATCCCTTAGAGGAAGCCAGGAAGGTGTGCTGGCATGTTCAGTAGCATTTTCGAGATGTAATATTTAGGAAAACATTTTAGTGAGACATTACTTTCCATCTGCCTTTGTTGGTCTTTTCTTCTACCTAATTTCTTTCTTCCTTTCTTTTTTTTTTTTTTTTTGAGACGGAGTCTTGCTGTCTCCCAGGCTGGAGTGCAGTGGTGCAATCTTGGCTCACTGCAAGCCCCGCCTCCCGGGTTCACGCCATTCTCCTGCCTCAGTCTTCTACCTAATTTCTTAAGAGGGTCCTGGGCTTTTTCTGATAAAGCTAATCAGGATTTAAAAGCTAATACTCTAATCTGTAACTGTAAAGATAAAACATAATCTGGAAAGATTTCTTCTAAGGACTGCTGTATTTTGAATAGATCACATCATCTTTTCTTCTGTGGAGAATCCAAGGGTTTTTCAGTTGAAAGACTGGAACATTTTCTCCTGGATTCTGTAGTGTTTGGAGGATCATTGACAACATTGTTATCAGTGCACAGTTCTCAGTGGCAGCACTGTGGTTCAAATGACTTATTTTCATGTTGTTTTATTGTTTTTGTCTTTTATTTTCATTAAGCTGACAGCTAAGTCAGAACTGATTTATCAGTTTGTGGAACATTTAACACAAGCTGTGGAGAGCTACAAGCAGCGAATGGACTGGCTCACCAGCAAAAGCCGGCAGATTTTTGGTGTCATCCTGGAACAGTGCATCACCATAGTGCTGGATTTGGGCTGCATTCGGGAGCGGGAGCTTGATCTGTGCCGAGAGGCTCTAACAATGGTTCTCCAGGAGCAGGTGGCTCACATAACCAAGTTCAATATCATACGGTGAGTTCCCATAGGAAGGGAGTATTTTAGTGAAACTTCATAGGAATTTGTACGTATTTGGAATTAAGTAGCACAGCTGACACAGTTCTCTGGTGAGGGAAGATGCATTATCTTACACTTTCCTGGAAGATGTAATTTCAGCAGCAATCCCACAGTGAATAAATCTTAGGAACTTTTATCTTCTTTGCACAGCGTGTCTTAGCTTTCACCTTAAAAGAGATTTAGAAACAGGCATTTCTTCCGTGCATGGGAAGGTTAAAATATAAGAATATGAGTTATGGCAAATGTATATTTAAGGTCATAAATCTCTTCATTCATTTTAGCTTTTAACTTGGGTCATGAATTCCAAGGTCACTAATTTCACTGATTTTCCAGACTGAAGTTGCAACTCAAGTTGACCTCCCCTATAAGTTGACCCCTTTCACCAGAACAACAGGTGGCTGGCTTTACGGAATTTCCCATATTTCAGAGTTTTCATAACCAATTATTTATGGATTCTTGGATTCAAGAGAATTTGGACCTCAGCACTAACTTCTCATCTGGAAAAGTGATTGCACCTCCCTGACAAAAAACATCTGGATAAGGGTTGGGAAAGGATGTACCTGATTCAGTTTTTCTGGTTTTAATCAAATACTTTCAGCTAAATAGAGGACATCTCTGGGGACAATGCCTAATTATGTTCTGTCTAGATTCCTGTTTCTGTCACAGGTATATTACTGAAGGAATCAAGTACTTAAGTCTGCAAAGCTTTTGCTTTCTTGGAAACCTCTGTATAACGTAGATGCCACTCAGCCAGATCCTCTACCCAGGCAGCACACAGCAGGCACGAGTGTGAGCCAGCCCTGCTTCTGCTGGCGGGCCATGGGGGCAATCAGGCCAGTTTATTTGCCATTATCAATTGCAAGTAAATTGAGATGATTCAAATGGCTCTTCTTTTTTTTGGAGTTGGGGGTTCTACCAGTCATGTACAAGCCCAAACGAAATGGTTTTACCAAATTTTCTCAGGATTTAAAAGCTACTACTCTGCTGAACTCAAAACAATACCAGTATTAATACAAAAGAAGGCAACCGATGGGAATCTTTCAGGACAATGAAAACAATGTCATGAAGGAATTAGAAATAAAATTTTAGAGTAATAGAATTGCTGGTGATTTGCAAATCTTAATACTGTGAATTATTATAAATTTGCTATTAAGAGAAGCCGGTAACATATACACTTGCCTGTTTATAAAAAATAACTTCTCTTAATGTTTTAAAAGACTTATTGTTAATTGTTACCGTTCTGTTTCTCATGTAAACATTGTTTTTCCTAGTCAGCACGGCTTATAGAAGACAGTGGTGGTTTGGGAACGTGTCTTAAACAGCCTGCTGGTTTTGTTGGTAACATGAGAGGGCTGGGAGCTATGATTTCTTTCTTTTTCGCCTCTAGAGATGGATGTTGGAGGCCTGCTGCTCATGGCTGTGAGACGGAGGGTTGGCATCCCCGGTAGCATTGATCACTGCCCCGTGACCACTCCATGTGATCCCTTTCAGGGCTTCTCAAGAACCTGTGAAGTGGCAGGAAAATGCTACTCCTGTGACCAAACAGTCCATAGCTGCTGCCATCAGCTGGGTTGAGACACTGACTGATGAACTGACTGCGAGCGAGGCTGGCTGCCTGGATGCTCTGCTGGAAGCCGGGAAAGACAAGACTGTAAGTACGTGTCCATGGCTGGCCACAGGCCATGGAGGTGGTTTCCAGCTTAACTCTTCACATTCAGTGACTTTACACAGCCCTTCAACTGATCTTAGGCCCCTCCCAGCAGGATCCGACAGAGATCCCATCAGGCACTGATGGTGATGGCATAGCTGGAGCAACCCAAATGAGGCCCCTGAATACCCGTCCCCTGAACCTGGCTAGGCTCCCTCTGTGGGGTGACTGGGGATGCAGGGTAGACCCTTGTTTAGCCAGTGTTGGGAGAGCCAAGTGCGACTTACACCCACCGAGCATCGAGAAAAGACAGGAGTGAGGCCATAGTTGTGCATCTCTGCCATATTAACTTCACTCTTGCTCTCCTGCCAATTAGATCGGTCAGTCTGTCTCTTACGGGGAGGAGAGAGAGATTGGAAGACTCCTCATAGAACCCTGAGGATGAGGAAATAGGGTTTTCCCAGCATCCACATTCTGAATCTTTTCTAGTTCGTCTTCTTCACAGATGGATCTGTCCTCGGTCGTATGCTTTCCAAGGTGAAGTGCATGCAAGCTGATGACTCCATCCATTTTTGGATGTCAATGTATTGACATGAATTTTGATAGGGACCTTTTGGAAATAAAGCTTTACCTGGAAGAAGTGATTAGATGGTGGTGTGTTACGTCTCTTTGAGCCACAGGGTCTGTGTTTCTGGGAATGACTCTAGTGATGGGAGGGTTGGGCCAGTGGAGACACAGTCTGGGCAAGTGGGGTCCTTTGGCCAGCCTGGACTCCCTGTGGGAAGGTCTGCTTGCCTTTGGACACAGTTACTTATCAGTTACGTGTTTCCTCCACTGGGGAAGCCTAGGGTTTCTGAAGGTTTCAAGCTTTACCCAGCTGCATCAAGAAGTCCGTTGTTGGAGAAAGAAGCCACATGTTGGCATCTTGAAAGATAGCCCCCAGCGGTCACTGGCCTGTGTTTACCAATACTGAGGGTGATGGTTTGTAATTGGAAACACATTGTTTTTCCTTCCAAGGCCAAAGGAACAAATGTTTTCCATCAAGGAAGAACCAGATACAAACTACTTTGTTCCTTGGTCCTTTGAGTTTGTTTTAACATCTGCAAAATTTCAAGTGTCTGGACACCTTAATAAGCATTCAAAAAAATGGAACATTTCCCAGGCTCAGGGTGTGTGTGCATGAGCCTGTGCACACGGTCCATTTCC